GTAGCCCAGGCTGGCCTCGAACTCACGGAGATCCGCCTGGCTCTGCCTCCCGAGTGCTGGGATTAAAGGCGTGCGCCACCACCGCCCGGCTCTATTTCTACTCTTATATGAAATATTTGTATAATGATACAAATGTAAATTTATATCTGTCATACTGTATGTATGTTCTACTTTTGTTTAGCATATTCTGTATATTTAAATATATTTAGGATTATTGTCATATTGCATATCGCACTATACATTCCTGCCTCTGTTATAAATATCTTGTGTATTGTCACAATTTTGAAGTCATCATCCTATACCATACATTTGCTTATAGACTGTTTACCTTGTTTACATGAAGCCTTAGTCCTTAGGTTATTTTGGTAGATAAGACTTAAAGATTTATAGTCACCTATGCTTGTCATCTCTATAGTTACGTTAGTTAGGTTATCCAGGTTTACAGATACATAGGTCAGATGGTCAGGTAATCTTCAAACACTTCATGGACCTAGAGAATATGGCATTTAAATAACTCAGAATTCTGTTGATGTGAGACACAATTGCTCCTGGCAGCACCAATTTGATCCCGAGAGAATGTTGAGCTTCTAAGACATTTCCATTTGGAAGTTTGTCTTCTTGGCACAAAATGGCCTACTGGGCAAAAAACTGCCCTTGCCTCAACTGCTGACAGTACGAATGCTGTCCTTTCTGGACAAGCGGGACACAAGGAAAGTGACCACTGTACTTTGCCAAGACAGGGTAAGACGGTCTCTCAGAATTCCTGCTTCTGAAAATGGTCTGTCAGATACTCTAGGCCTGTAGCCAATTTGAATGCACCAACCATGCTGAGAAACATTAGGTGACTGTCCAGGGTGCCAGTTGTCCTTGCAAGATTCCCGAAAGTTGCTTGCATCCATCTTCCATTTCTCAGGTACCAGGTACCATTATATTCCTTCTCAGGTCTTTGATGGGATTGAAGACTAGCAGTTATAGTTACAACTTTATATATATATATAAAGTTATATATATAAAATATATAAGATATTATATATATAATATCTTAGATATAACATATTAAGTATTAGATTCAGGTTCTTTAGGACAGGACACCTTTTGGAATGATGTTCGTAACATGCCATTTACTTATGCTCTAGACTTCTCTGGATTTTAGTATGTGTTTCTTGCTTGATATTGTTCACATTGATTATAGTTCCATCTTATCTAGGTCATTAACCCTCTTTACCCCTGGACAATATTTGATAACCTTTCCTTGTATATAGTCTTGTATTAGGTTAGAACCTTCTTATTTAGACAAAAGGGGAGATGTAGTGGGTAGCCATTCCAACCTTGATCTGGAAGTTCCAATCCCCATTGAGGCTTTGGTGACTGTCACACCTACAAGGCTGGGCCAAGAGAGGACCTTGAAGACCTGAGATCTGGATGCACCATCTCTCTTGTTTCCTGGACCCTGGACGCTGGGGGTAGACTGAGCAGAGTTCTCCAGAGAACACCACCAGACTGTGCTACACCTTTCCCAGACCCTGCAACCTACCTATCCCTTCATTTTTAAGTTACGCCACTAAATAAATCTCCCTTTTAACTACGTGGAGTGGCCTTAATAATTTCACCAATACTAATGGTTTCTCTTATGCTGTGTATGTTGGGATGTGTCCATTATAAATCAAGGAGCATCCAGGGTTATGTCGGCCATGGATTGGCATCTCTTGCTTGTTTTAATTTTTCATTTTGATCCTATTTCTCTTTAACTTTGCAAGTCTTGTGGCTTGCTATTGTTTGCCATAAATTATGAATGGCGTAGAAGGGTCCGGGTTATGTTCTTCCACTAGGGATTGGGATTCGAGCTGTGAGGACCACTCTGAGTGACCAGTGTTGCATGAATCTTAAAGGGTCTTATTAATAAAAAACAAACCCAGGGCCAGTTATTGGGGTGAATGCTGGAAGATCAGAGAAGCAGAACAAGCCACAGCTACCTCACCTCACCAATTCCTCAGCTGATCCTGTTTCCTCAGACTGGATGGCTCTCAGCTGAACTGTGCTGCTCAAAAGCCTAAAAGCTTAACCAGCTCTAGTTCCTCATCCTCATGCCTTATATACCTTTCTGCTTCCTGCCATCACTTCCTGGGATTAAAGTTACCATGCCTGGCTGTTTCCCATGTGGC